CGAATTTCGTTCACGAAAAACCAGGGCGAACACCGGATCATCGAATCACTATATAGATGCTTCGTGTACCTCTAAACGGTACGCTCCATTCTATTCTCTATTTGAAATTCAAGAAGAAATCCTCGAAAGATCGATAGATCATTTATAGGCCCATGTATTTTTAAAGTCGGTGCACAAGTCCAGGTCCAACAAGAACAGGCACACACCGAGGATTCACTGATCGAAAAAGTTCAATCCTTTCAGCCGTGTACCAATCGGGTTGTAGCCGTGTCCAGCGGTCTCCTCAGATTCAATTAGCACCGCGATCGACGGATGAATCGAAGTAGGAGAGGAACACAGCGAGTGTCGACGACGATGACGAGCAAGTGTGCTTCGGGTCGGAGCAGCGAATCCAGGCGTTGGGACCGCTCGGCGACGCTCAACCGTTCTGGTGTAATCGAGGCGACATACACACGGCCGATGCGGTTTCACAGCGGAGAAAGAGGAGTGACTGTGCAAGGAAGATAGGGAGACAGAGGGAAAGAGGGAAAGATTACATCAGATCACCGAGACACGCTGTACGTTTCGCAGCCGAGACGACGCGACGGACCGATCGCGAACGGACCTCTGGTGTAACTCGTTTGGGCCTTTGGGATCTCGCGCGGAACTCGACGACGACGGCGGCGGCGTCGAATTCGAGGCTGACAAGTGGGCGTCTGGATCCAGCTGAGCACCACGAAGCTGGTCCGATTCGACACGAGAAACCATAACGTATGTGTACGAGCCGAGCAGGACCGCCGCGGCAACGAACCGAAGGAAACCTTCGACGTTCCGAGAGAGTGTGAGAAAGACCCAAAGACCGGGCCCAATCTCACTAGGGGGGATTTCTATACCACCTTTCACCTAACTCCGTCGTTGGGACAAGAGCGCGTGCCACACAGAACAGAATTCTCTTCGCGCGACGTTTGTAATATTCTTGCTGTTGTGTTTCTTTAATGTGTCTTTCTATTGAGTCGAAGTGTAATTAATTTACTACGATTTATCTCAAATAAGAGGCAAATTGAATTGAATGCATTAGCCGTTCAAAGTAGAAATTAATTGAACTATGCATTCATTGGTAATCATAGTATTGACTACTTGATAGATTTATCTAATGGATTCATTTTGCTGTCAATTATTATATATAACTGACTTGTCTCAGTGGACATGATCATAGATTCATTAGTGTGATACGAAACTGAATGTTCTCCGTGCTTAAGATTGCATTACTTGAGTATGATAGTCTAACATAAGTTGCGAATTAAGTTTGCATGGTGTCCAGGGTAACAGAGGGTAAAACGACAGTGGAAATTAATAGGAAATTGTCTGCGTAAAAGGAGTCGACTATATCGTGTTCCAGATAATTCTGAGACGGACAATTCTGGGAGCAGTGTAAACATGCTACCGTTTCAAAAACAATATTCTTGAAGAATGTTTCTGCTTGCAGTGCACAACTAAAAGTGATTTTGGAACAAAACGAAAG